AGCCCCTGCCACCCCCCGCGAGGAGTCGAGTGGAACCTCTAACTTTTGTGAAGTTCTCCTGGTAGACTGGAGGCGGGAAACGTACTCAACACTCACAGCACACGCACCTTTTTTTTTTTTTTTAATTAAAAAATCAATATATTGTCCAGGGTTTTTCTGTGGTTGAACAGAGAAACTGAAGCCGTCTCATATCTTAACTTCTGGGGGTCCTAATACAAATCGGGGGCGAGAGGGTGTGTGTACACAGGTGCACATGCGCATTTACGTGTATGTGGTGTTGCTGCCAGTCTCATCATGCTCTGCTCCTTAATTTTTCCTGGCAAGATATTTTGGATCTTTGTCCAGTAGCTTTGAAAGCATTTTTATGCGAGCTCTCTTTCCTCCCTCCGCTGTTTTAATTCTTTCATTCCTTGTAGAGTTACTTGTCTAAAAGTATTCCCCTTCCCCGCCTGCTCCCCCATTTATAAAGGAAGACTTCCATCTGGATTAATTCTGCCTGTCATCCTGGATGGCATTGTTTTTGCTTGTTTTTCTTTTTTTCTCATAGCCGCAACATAAATCTACTGAAATCTTAGTTTGGAAACTGTAAAGTAGACACGTATTGCCAATGTTTCAGTGATTTGTGGCATATTGTCACTTAAATGTTAGGTGGTTGGAGGACACATTAGCTCTGACTTCCAAAGAGGCATGTTTTTGTGAAGTTCACTTCAAAAAGAAAAAACGTCAGACACTGTTGTACTGTTTGCTGGGGCACGGGGTGGGGAGGGAATAGGGTTATTTACTTACTTTCTTTTAAGTTGTTATGGCTTGGATACCTAAGGTTATTCGCATGTGGGACTAGGTTAAGGTAGGATACACAGTTTAATGTTGGTCATATTACCTTAAACGGGAAAACCATCATGTTAGAGTTAGTCAGTCACATGATGATACCCCAACGGTACACTGAAGGCTATTTGCATTCGAAGGCCTCTGTTGATGCTGATAAGGTATACATGGTGTTCGTGGGGTGTGGTGGGACTTTTCTTCTGACGTGATGTTTGCACCCTTTCAGGGATGGCTAGTGGGCTGATCCCCCCCCCCCCCCCCGCCGATCCCTGACTCCTTACAGCTTCTGCTTTCCCCGACCAGGTGTCACGCAGTTCCTGTGTGTTTATAGTTACCCGTTCAGTAAACTACATTTGTCATTGAGCACGAGGTTTGTGTTGGGCATTATTCTAGAACCTGGGGTTCGAGAATTGAACAAAATAGGTGAAAACCGTGCTCCGGCTGACATTCTAGGTGTGACACAACGGCGTGGGTCATGTGGAAGAGTGCTGTGGGCCAGGCAGGAGGGGTTGGAGGCACAGCCAGGATGGCCAGGAAAGGGCCCACTGGGAGCAGGCCTGGGAGCAGCGTAGGATGAAGGGCAGGTGGCGAGCTCTGGGAGCGCACAGTGCGGCCAGCGTGGCCGGGCTGGAGGAAGCAGGAGCTGAAGATGCAGAGACGACGTGGGCTCAGGCATGGAGCCTTGCAGGTCATAGGAGCACTCGGGCATGTGTTCGTTCCGAGTGAGACCCTTCGGAAGGTTTAGAGAGGAGGAACGTGACCGGAGGTCTGTTTGGCAGACTTGCCCTGGCTGCTCTGCCTAGGGTCTCCTGCAGAGGGGCAAGGGCAGAGGCAAGGAGACCATTTAGGAGGCTGTCGCAGTAAGCCAGGCGAGTGGCCTCGGAGGCTTAGGTCAGGGCCAGGAAAAGAGGTCAGGTTCCGGGTGAGTTTGAAGGCCGAGACGGTCGGGCTGTGTGTGGGTTGGAGGTGATGGGGGGTGGGATGGAGAGGAAAGAGTAGATGGTGCTGAGGTTTATGGCCCGAGCAAGAAACTCGGTGGGGAAACTTGGGGATCGCCTGCTTGGCGGGAGCTGCTGGGTGTTGGTTTTGTGTGTGTCAACTGTTAGGTGCCTGTCAGACATTCACGTCTTGATGTCCAGGGAGCCATGGATCTACCGGCCTGGAGCTCGGGCGGGAGACCTGGCCTAGAGGTGCAAGGGTGCGAGAGTCCACTTTGGATAAGGTCACTGAGGGTCTGAGTGTAGGAGGAAAGACAAGGGAGCAGGGAGGGCCCAGGGCTGCCAGCTCGTAGAGGTCCAGAAGGCACCAGGCAGGCCACGGGCTGGTTGTCTTCTCCACCGAGCTCTGGCACTTACACGGCCACTCTGTCCATTCCTTGAAGACAGCCCGTGTCCTGTCCAGCGCTGTACATTGCGTCCGGCCCATGGTAACTGAACGAGCAGAACTTGAATTGGTAACTTACGTGTTTCTGGACTATAAGCACTTTAGTTTGTGGCATTCGTGTGAATGCCACAAATTCCAGTCCGTTAGTGTGAGGTGTCAGTGAGTGAGGAGGGCTGCTTACTGAGGGGTAGCGAGCGGTCACCTGGACCTTCTGTCTGCTGTGCTCACTAAAGCCATGTTTTCTAGTTTTCTGACATCAACTACTTGCAAACCCATTATCTTAAACAAGTGTTTTCTGAAGGAGAGAACCCTTCTTTGAACTTGATTTATAAAGTATAATCTTTCAGAAAATGCAAGAGTTTGGGGTAAATATCTTTGAAACGTGATACATTACAGTAAGCTCTGAAAGAAATCGAATGGCAAAGCCGCTTGTGGGTCTTCCTGGTTGAATTACAATGTAAGTGGTACTAAGTGGAGAGAAGTTGGTTACATTCATTGAGCACGCTTCCCTATTTTTCTGTCTGTCAGATTAACGATACTAAATGAAAACTTTGTTTCTGAAGGGATTACCATACTGTTGAAGGGCTTTCCTGTCCTCTTCTGGGTGTGACCAGGGACATTCCCAGGGAAGATGTGGAAAACCCAGCATCAGGAACCCAGGTGACTTAATGGCCTCTTTCATAAGGTGGATGCTGCCTCTCCATCTTGCCTCTCGCATCTTATTTCAAATTAAAATCAGACCTGAGAGTGGAGACTGGCATTCTTTTCGAGGTTTGAGTCCTTTTAACGCAGGAGGTATGTGAACTGCTTCATAAGCGATATGACATTGATTGCAAAGAGGATGAAATTATAATGCAGGCTGTGGGCGGAGGCTGCTGGTCCAGCTGAGAGCAGCTGACGGAGCAGCCTCGGAGCATGGACCGTCGTGGCTGTCAGTCTGCACGAATGCTAGTGATCGCGAACTTTAGTTTTGAAGGAGAAAAGTTTGAATTTTCTGTTGAAATGTTTTCTGAACCGGTGTTCTGTTTTCCGTTCTATAGAAGTGTTAGTACACATTTCTGCTGAAGTAATGATGGTAAAACAAAAGTTGCGTTTCGTTTGGAGGAGGGGAATTTAGTTCTGTCTTCTAAGTTGTGAGACTTGAAATAACACACAGAAGAACGGGCTCAGAACCACTGCTGGGTGGCACACACGTCGCTGGAGCCTCGCGCCCACCCGTGCTCTGTCCCCACTGGGCCGAGCCAGCGGTTTTGCCCCGTTTCGTGCGCGAGGAGCCAGAGACGTACAGAAGTTAAGTTGTGTCATATAGCTAGCAAATGGGTCCTCTGTCCCCAGAAACAAACCGTTGTGGAGATTGGAAAGTGGAGTGTTGGAAGCGAGCATCATTTAGAAAGTTCCCCCTCCTCCATTAGAAAGTAGGGTCCAGAAGTCAAGGAGCTTGGCAGTTTGGTCCAGGCCCCTCTGCCGTGCTGAGTGGGCTGGGCAGGTGCCTGGCCCGTGGCATTCCAGGTGTTGGGCAGGACAGGGTGGCCCTGTCCTCCAGTGCAGGCGTAACAGTGCAGAGCCACCAACACCAGTCAGGACTCGGCGGCTGCTCAGGACAAGAAGCGCTTTGCCTCTTCCTCTGGCCGAAGCTGGTGCAGGTCCGTGGGCTCCTCGTGCTCACGCTCCAGGGTGGAAGCTTAGGGGTGTTGGAACCAGCCTGTGGTGGCATAGGTGGCAGCTTCGGCTCTCTGAATGCAGTCCTGTGTCCTGTGAGGGCAGTGCGTCGCCCTCCGTTCGGCTGCAGTGAAGACATTCACACGTTGGGTCGCTTTCCTGTTTGCGTCGTCCGAGGTCTTGCAGCTCAGTCTGATCACAGAGAGGGAGAATGTATCTCCTACTGTCATCCGTGTGTCACTCATGTCAAGGAACCCCAGGGGGTCCACCCAGGGACCGGCTTCCTGTCGCCCAGCACGGGTCACAGCTTTTCACGTTTGTTAACTTGTCTCTTCCTCACACAAGCCTTGAGGAAGATACAGCTCTTCTCATTTTACCAGTAAGAAAACCAAGGCACAGAAAGGTCACTGACTTTGGGGGATCTCGTGACTAGTCAGGGTGGCTCAGGCCTCTGGCCCTGCACTGCAGGGAACATGTCCAGCAGGTGGGTGATGGACGCCCCCCTGTGCGTGGAGCCCTCCAGGGCACAGAGAGGCAAAGTGGCCCCCACCTTGAGGAGGTTACATGCAGCGGGAGGAGTGAGGGGGACAGTGGGTGCTGTGTGTCCGCCTCCAGTCCAGAGGCAGAAGTGACATGCATGCTCAGCTGGACGCTCCCATAGATGGGAAGAGTGGCGAGGTGAGGGGCACGGGGCACCAGGGGTGGGGAGCCCTCCTTAGGGACCCCGTAGATGATGCGTGCTGTCACTTCGTGCTTTCTGCCTAGCTAGGGAGAGCTGGGGTTGCCTCCTGGTAGCTCCATCTTCTTGCTGGCTTCTGGCTCATGCAGTAAGGAGTCTGAGGCCACACGCCCTGTAATTGTCTTAGTCACAGTAGGAAATGTGGTGATAAATACTTGAACTTGATAGAGTACCTCCTCCTGTTTTCCCTGTGAAGTTGCTTCCTTGCCTATAAAGTTTGCTAATAAACCCAGGAAATATGCCTGCTGTGCATTTTGCCACTTCAGTGATGAAAACCTCTGGACTTAAAAGCCACCCCCGGTATTGTCACCCTCCTCTCGGAATGAGCCTGTTTTCTTTCCTACCTGCTGTCCCCTTTCTCAGCATCATTTCCTTACTGTGGGAAGCTGGGTGTCTGAGGACTGTCTCAGGGCCCAGACCCTGATGCTGTAGGCTTGTGGTCCTTGGATATGCGCCCCGGGCCACGGAGGAGCTGCACCCCCAGGCGCTCAGCGCTCTCCAGCACCCTGGGAGAGGCATCTGACTGGTGCACAGCCGCTGCCCGGGAGGTGTCAGCCGTCAGTGGACTGTCCCAGCTCCAGCAGGACGAGAGTTACGGTCGCTGGAAATCCGACGAGTGGTGTTAGCATCCTTTTCCTTGCACGTAAACGCTGTGGCCGTGGGTCTGCAGTCGGTTAAGGCATGGAGGTCGAAGAGGACGGTGGTTGCTGACGACCAGGGTGGCGCTTTAGGGACAGGGCAGGGACACCACGGTGTTTTCAGCTCCTCGAGAAGGTAGACTTTTCCTCCATCCCAACTCAATTTTTGTAATCGGGAACAAGTAACCTCACGCAAAAAAAAAGGAGAAATAGGGTTGGACATTGAGCTGCATGGTCCTGATCACGGAGAAGCCGAGTGGACGTTGTCTGTGGCAGCACCGCCGAGAGCACAGGGCAGAGCAGCGCTCCGGACGCAGCGCGGGCAGCACAGGCCTGCCGCGACGCCGCGGGCCTCTGGCACAGAGGGGAAGGCAGCCAGGCCTGGGTCCCGCCACCCACGACCCCTTCACCTGTGGGTCGGTGGTTGGCGGGAGCTGCTTCCTGCCCAGCTCAGCCTCTGCGTGTGGTGAGAGGCTGGCATCGGGCCTGCACTGCTGCTCCTCGGTGCTAGTGGCCCGAGCTCGCCCTGGAGCCTTCCGTTGCTGGCCTCAGTGAGCCCCCCCATGGGAAGGGCCATGCTGCCCGGCGGCCTGGCATTGTCCCGGATTTATGGATGAGGGCCTTTCTGCAGTGAGAGGCCAGTAAGTGCCCCAGGAATCTGCAGCCCACGAGTGCCCGGCCACCAGGCACCAGAGCCAGCGCTCTGCCCGACCTCCCGGGGCCGTGCACAACACAGGGATGTGCAGGGTTCCCACAGGACACGGCCTTGAGTTCATTGTGGCGTGGATGCCGGTGGTGCGGGGTGCTGCGTGCGAGGACCTCTGCCGAAGGTCGCTGCTAGTGCGAGGCTGCAGAGGGCTTTCGCGATGCTCTTGCACGCTGGGCTTTACAAAGTAAACAGCATGTGCCACTTTTACCAAAAGGTGGAGCTGTTGTCAAAAAATAAAGATGTGGGAGGAGTCACATGTCACTGATTTTTTGGAAGGTTTCTGTGTGGTTGCAGGTGAAGGATGCTGTGGTTGGCACAGGGCAGCAGGTGAGAGCTGTGTGTTCGGGCTTCTCCAAAGAGGCTGAAACAAAGGGGTCCCGGCTCACCCCGCTGGCGCTGGGTGGGTGCAGGCGCCGGCTCCCCTCAGCCAGGGCTCTGCGGCCGGCTCGGACCCTGGGCCTCTGGGTTCTCACGGAAGCAATACAGACTATGATGGGGCTCGGGGCTCGTCAGCACAGAAGGTGGACCCCGTGCTCTGCACATGGCAACCTCCATGGGAAGTGGGGTGTTGCCGGTGGAAGATGGTGGCTGTGCCCGTGTGGTCACACCCTCCAAGGGAAAACAGGCTCCAGGCCTCTCAGCACTGGGAGCCTCGGGCCTTTCTCTCCATTGCTAGAGCTTAGTGTCGCACTTAGGAGTTAGTGCTCAGCCCCCTACAGCTCATGCTCCTCACCAAGAGCTGGGGTGGGTGTGAACCCCCAGTTCTCGGGGCTGTCACTCGCCCCGGAGCGCCTGCCTTCCGCATGACCTCTGGGCACACGCTCCAAGGTGACCTCTGATGACCTGGGCTCTGCTGTTTTCTGCTTTCTCTCCCCTGTCGGTCTCTCAGGTTGGCACAGCCTTGCTTCTGCCCATCAGTGACTCTGGCTTTGAATCTGAAAGGCTCAGGAAGTGGGGTGGCAGGTCTCATGTCCCCATCCCCAACATTAGCAGAGTGGCCTCCCAGTCACATGCCTTTGTTCTGTCAGTGGCGATTGTCAGGTGCCTTGAGACGCAGAATTCCATACAGAAATGTGATAAATGATCTCTGATGCTGTTTTATGAAATTATAAAAATTTGATCAGTGTGTGTCTTTGGTTTCATAGCTACTCTGACCTATGACACTCTCCGATTTGCTGAGTTCGAAGATTTCCCGGACACCTCAGAGCCCGTTTGGATACTGGGTAGAAAATACAGCGTTTTCACAGGTATCAGTCATGTTGGAGCCACTGTGCCCTTCGTGCTCAGTCTGCAAAAAGCATTTGTGCTAACGAGAGTTACCTGCTGTCTGTCACATGCGACCTGCGTACTTAAGGCTGTGTGTGTGCGTGTTTTCTTTTAACATTCTCTAGAAAAGGACGAGATCTTGTCCGATGTGGCGTCCAGACTTTGGTTTACATACAGGAAAAACTTCCCGGCCATCGGTAAGTGCCCCTTGTGCAGCACGTGGGGGACTGCACACTCCTTGGGGCGGGGGGAGTTTGGCTTGAACGTGCCGAGTGCCTGGTACTCGTGTCAGTCTTTGTGGCAAGCCCGGGTACGCATGCTGGCTGAGGCCTCGCCCGATCTGTGGCGGAGCTGGATTCCTAACTCGGAGCTCCGGGCAGCAGTTTACACACCGCAAGCCACCGTTCATCACTGGGGCCAAAAGAAAACCAGGCCAGTGAGTGATGGCGAGCATTCAGAGCGTGGAGGAGCACAGGCTGAGGAGCAGGGGCTTCCCCGGAAGGCCCTATGTCCTGGGTCGCGGCCGCAGGTCCAGGGTGGCTGGAGTTCTCGCTCTGCGTGCCCCATCTTCCCGAGCACGTCCCACACTTCATTGTGGGGAGTCGAGGGCAAGGCGGAGGTGACGTTGTAATGTAACCAACGTGCGTTCCAGTAAAAGTGATTCTTCATCGTTGGGCCCTGAAGGAGGACAGAGGACGGGGACCAGCTCTGGCCTGGCCTTTGCCAGTCAGAGGACCGGAGACCGGAGCTTCGGGGCCAGGATAGACCTCCTGGATGCCTGGTCTCGATCTGGTCCCCCTCCAAGGCGCGGTTCCTTCTGTTCTCCATAGTGAGGCGAGCGTGAAATGTCTGCCACGCTCGACATCCGGGATACTTGAAACGTAGGGCAGCGAGGCCAGCGCCACCTTGGGCGACACGTAACATTACGATTTGTCGTGTGCGCTCTGCAAATGGCCCTTCACCCCACAATTTCTTGTCGCTCACTCGCTCAGAGGCTGCTGTGCTTGGGGCGGACTCGCCTGCCAGCCAGCAGAGGTGCACTGTGTGGTGCGGGAGACCGCTGTGCTGCGGGTCCCACGTCTGAGCGCACGGAAGGCAGGCGGGTGGGCGGGCTGGAGAGGAGCCTGGAGGTGGTGGACGTAGTCGTCGAGGGCCGGGCCGCCTTGGCTCCAGGGGCCAGCGTGGTGTTTCCTTCCTTAGCCCCGTGGACGTGCCTTGTCCATCCGGGATTGGGATGGGAGTGACAGGTCCCGTGTGGGTTGTTTCTGTGTGTCAGCTCCAGTCCCACCACTGCCCCAAGAGGTGGGCTTTGTCCGCCAGCTTGCATGGGTGGGGCTTCCTGAGGCCCAGAGGTGACGCTGCAGCCCACGTGGTCAGCCTCTGAGCCTGCTGTCTACTGCCCGTGTGTCTGGAGCCCTGCTGATGGTCAGAGCGCAGGGCATTTCCTGTCGTGTTGAGCCTGTCTCACCGTGTGTGGGTACCACGTGCCCATGTCAGGGTCGTCTGCGGCTGGCGAGTGGGGTGAAGCCGACGGCCAAAGGCACGATGCTTCGGGGCTGGCCCTCCCAACTCCCGCCCTGCCCTCCTGGTGGTCATAAGTGGCCCTCCTGGTCCACTGCCGAGCCGGGTGACGCAGTGTCCCCTTGTGTCCCTCAGACGTCTGTCTCTCTGACGGGCTGCTTCACACACTGTGCCCATTTTGAGGGGTGGTTGGGGCACTTCACTGCCCATCAGAGCAGCCTGGGCGTGACCAGGTTCTAGAAAGCGTGTGTTGCTGAGATGGAGCGGATGCCTGCACTGCAGAGCTGACCAAGTGCGTGGCGACAGCTGCCTCCTGCCACTGGCCTCGGCCTGTCAGGCCACCTGACGTGAGTCTGCTCTCTCTGTCCACCATGACAGGGGGAACTGGCCCCACCTCGGACACGGGCTGGGGCTGCATGCTGCGCTGCGGACAGATGATCTTTGCTCAAGCCCTGGTGTGCCGGCACTTGGGCCGCGGTGAGTCACGTGGAGCCAGCGGTGTCCTAAGGGAGCAAGGAGGGCTGTGGGCAGGGCCATGCAAATCGCAGGTGCCGGTCCAGGGGCTCCTGAGTAGTGACCCAGTGGTTCCCATTTATTTACGTGACTTCAAAGAATGGCGATAAACGTTTGTCCTTCAGAAATTACCTTTAATCCCTGACGCCGTCAAGGGCTCTGCACAGGTTTGAGTTGGCGGGAGGCGTAGTTGGAGCCCTGGGGGGTGCGGCTTTCATCTTCAGAAGGTTCAAAAGCAGCGTGGGCGCCATCTGTTCTGCGTGTTTGATGAGCGAAGGCTTTGTTCTCGCGTTTGGTGGAAATGAACTTCTGCTCTGTCTCCCAGACTGGAGGTGGACGCAGCGGAAGAGGCAGCCGGACAGCTACTTCAGCGTCCTGCGCGCCTTCATGGACCGGAAGGACAGTTACTACTCCATCCACCAGATAGGTGAGGGTGCGGAGTGCAGAGCCTGGCCCATCGGAATGGGCAGCGGGTCCCCCTGGGGGTTCACTGTTGTGTGGGCAGCGTGAGGCCTGTCACCACTGGGCTGCAGGGGGTGGGCCAGGCCAGCTCAGACTTGAGGCCTCGCCCTGCCCATGTGGGCTGTGTGGCCTGCTGCTCGGTGCAGCGTCTGTGAAAAGCACGCCGTGGTCTCAGAGGTCCGTCCTCTCTATGCCTGCGGGAAGTACCAAGGCTTTTATTTCAAGCAAGTCCAGCTTTTGAGCACCATGCTCTCAGTTGTAAAAGGAAGTAAAAACATAGCTCCGAACTCACTGGCCCGGGCCACTCCACTTCCCTCAACCCCTCCTCAGCAACGGCCTGGCGTCTTGGCTCGGAGTGAGGGACAGACCTGGGGGTGGCATCTGTCCTCGCTGCAGGGAGTGCCCTGCTCCCTGCCAGGAGCGCGTTTTGGAGGCGGCTGGGTGTGTCTGCCTAGGCTTTTTCTAAAGTGTCCCTAATGCCACACGCGGCAGGACCGGCCTCTTCAGGGGGGCGCTGTCACTAACCAGACGTGTCTCCTGCAGCACAAATGGGAGTCGGCGAGGGCAAGTCCATCGGCCAATGGTACGGGCCCAACACGGTCGCCCAGGTTCTCAAGTACGTACCAAGCCCCATCTCTCTCGCTCCTTTGGGGACCTTGGTGTGCATGGGCGTACGTGGGGGTTCGGACTCTCCTGCGGCTTGTTGCTAAAGGACAGAAGGGGTCTCTCACTTTTTTTCGGGGCCTTCAGGAAGGTCCTCAGAGGTGACCATCCACATGGTCTCGTGAATCAGAATTTAGTTTTCTGATAGAGTGACTGCCTCCGTGCGGATTGCGCCCGCTGGCTCTGGCCTTTGTTCTCTGTTGCTGGGCCTACCTGTTATGGCCCCCCACAGGTCTGAGGGTCTTGGGGGTTGGAGCTGGTTGGCAACGACAGAGGTTTGGTGGGGGAAGCGGCCTCCGTGCACGTGCCGTGGGCCCCCCCCACCCCGTTTCCCTTTCCTCGAAAGCTCTGTCTCCAGCCACGCTGCCCCTCCCTCTCCTGGCTCGTGCGTCTGCCCACCTGCTCCCTGTCCCCGCAGGGGTGTCCCACAGGCACCTGCCCTCGGTCTTCTGGAAACTGCCCTTATTCCATGTCCCCAGCCAGCCCTCGTGACGGATGGCTGCCGTGGCCACCCAGTTGCTTGTCAGGACCCTCGGGGCACTTCCTTCCCTTACATGTCCCACTTCCAGCCAATCCCCAGGCCTGCCCACTGTCCTTGGTCTCCTCCTGTGGCCTGGCGATGGCAGTTCCCGCCACATGCCCTTTGGGGTCCTCGGCCCAGCTCTGTGCACCTCGGCAGCCGCGTGCCTGGTGGGCCCACGTGGCCTGTGGTGCGCTGCCTGTCCTGCGTCATCGCTGACCCTCCTCCCCGCTGCCGCTCTGGGGCAGCCCCGTCGAAGTCACCAGCCACCCTGCTGCCAGGTCCAGGCCTGGTTTCCTGCCCGACTCAGCCATTCGGGTGCTCACTGTCTGGAAACCCCGGGCCACACTCTCTGGTCCCTCGTCCCTCTGGCCACCTCGGTCTCCACTTCTGCCCTGACCCCAACGTGGCTCGGGCCTCTGTCCACGCATGACACTGTTCTCCATGTGCGCACAGCTCCAAGAGTCACCTCTCCGGTGCTGATTTGTCCCCATACTCAAGGCTCACATCCAGATGCTTACTTAGCAGCGTGTCCAAGTGGCTCGTCATCCTAACGGCCAGGACCCAAGGTGGCCCCTTCCCCTGCCCAGCCTGCTGCGCCCGCAGTGAGGGCAGCAACCCCTTCCAGGCACGCAGGCCGAACACCGGGCTCGAGCTGGGGCCCCCTGCACACGCCCATCTGCATGTCCTCGCTGGCCAGCATGCCCCGCTTCCCGCTGCCGACGGGCCCTCGCCTGCCTCTGGCCTGCGTGTGGGCCTCCTCCCCTTTGCCACTGTAGCGTCTCTTCGCAGACAGCAGCAGAAGTCACCTTCACAGAGCAGCAGTCAGCCAGCCGCCCGTCTTCTGCTCAGCACTCGTTGTCCCGGGCTTCCCAGGGGACAGTATGGTCGCCCCGACGCCCCTGCCCTCTCTCTCGTTTGGCCCAGCCCCCGTGCACCCCCAGTCTCGCTTCTGGCGGCAGTCTGCCTCCGTCCGGACCTCGGTCCTGGGGCCTCAGCTCTGCCAGTCCTTTGCAGCTGTGCGCCTCAGCAGGCGAAGGCGCTGGGAGCTGGTGACACTGTCCAGTCCCGGGTTCGTGTGGTTCTTACCTCTGTGTGCCAACTCGGTTCAGACAGGACGCCACCCAGAAGCGCCTGTACGGGAACTGCTCTCTGCGAAGGGCAGCTGGGGGTCACGGGAGGGGCCCAGGCCCCAGGGGAGAAGCAGCAGCTTCCAGCCTCAGTGTTCTTCCCATTGGTGGCACCGACGTCCCTGGCCCTTGGTCTTCCTCATCCGGGACAGCACTGAGCGCTGTGACGCTGCTTTCTGCAGCTTCCTACAGAGCTGTGAGGGCTCATGGTGTCTCCCTTCTCTATCAGGAAACTCGCTGTCTTCGACACGTGGAGCGCCTTGGCCGTCCACATCGCAATGGACAACACGGTGGTGATGGAGGACATCAGTAAGTGACAGGAAGACGGGTGGGGGCTGATGGGACTTGGGGAGCAGCCTCACTCGTAGGGCCTGGCCTGGAGAGCTGGGATTATGCTTAAGCAGGGGCACCCTGAAAGGAGGCTTGGACCCCTGGTTCTCTCACAGTGAGGACCAGGCCGAGGGGAAGGGCCTGGCTTCTCTCCCTGATTTGTGTCCATGCTGTCGTCGAGGCTTGGGCCGCGTTCGTGCAGGTGTTCACGTGCGCCGGTGCACCGCCAGCAAAGGCAGGGACAACTGCCCACTCCGCCACCTCGAGCCAGGGTGGAACGTGCAGTGGGAATGTAGCTCTGTTCCTCTTTCTGGAAGGTTCCTGGAAGCCTGAAGGGGTCCAGGCACACCGAGGTCTTAGCGCAGAGGGGAGCAGGGGCTCGGTTTGGCGAAACAGCCTCTTGTGAGTTTTGAATTCGTGCTTTCTGTTCTCTAATGCAGGGAAGCTGACAGAACTCTAGTTTATTTAATGCTTTATTGAATTTTGTACGCGGCAGCACCTTTTTCCAACGAATTCTCGAAGCTGCCTCGACCCCCGTTTTACTGAAGCTGCACACGTGGACTGCGGCCCTGAGCCCAGGTTTGCGTGAGACGTGCGCCTTGAGTGACATCATTTTCCGTGTGTAGGTTGCAGGGCGGCGTGGACTTTACAGGCAGATCTTGCACACACAACTGCAGCCGTGGAGTGGGGGCGTCACATCCCTGCCAGCGACAGGGGCCCCATGCTTCCTCTTCTTTTTGGGGACACTCAGCATAGGATTGGGGAGCCGAGATGTGACTGTCCCCTAGGACTTGATAAACTTGGACTGTCACAGGGTGACGTGTTTCTGTTTCTGCCTTTCTCCGCATTGTATTTCTGGAAATTTTTCTAAAACGTTGGAAACTTAGGAAATGTACGGAAAAGGGGGAAAACATCACTCGATGTTACTGCTCAGAAGTAGCTCACGCTGACGTTTAGGCGCTCTTCTTTCCAGTGTTTTGTTATCTTTCAAAAAACACACAGCATCGTGAGCTTTTTCTCCAGTCAGTGGAAACGTAACCGTCTGCTGTCCGGCCACGCTGTCCCCCACCTCACCTTCCTGTCCTCCGCCCAGCGCGGGAGAACCCACTTGCCCGTGTCCTTCACCACCTCAGGAGCGAGCCCAGCCACTCATCCAGCCCTTGGCTTCAAACCAGAGGCTGGTTGCTCCAGTGCCACGGCCAGGGAGGGTAGGGGACAAGCTGCTGTCCAGAACCTCCGTCCTCTGGGGCGTGTGGCACTAGTGGGGGCCCTGGAGGCGACTCGACGGTGCCTGGATGCTGGCTGCAGCCTCTTCGGGCGTCTCGGTCGTCCAGAGCGGCAGTGCTGGAACCGTAACGAGACGTGGGTCTGGGGTTTGTGCGAGGAGCTCGCGGGTCAACCCTGCATTCTTCACAGGCCCCTGTAGGATGGGGCTGCCTGGCCACGGTCAGGCCATCTCATTGCATAGTCCTCCCCTCTTGAGTCAGAAATGATGCATGCGTGTCACAGAGGCAAGTGCAGGATGTCCAGCGCCTGAACTTAGGAAGAATCCCATCAGACCACCAGCAAGGACCCCAGGCCTGGAAGCAATGCCTGGGTTCCCGCACGCAGTTTGGGGAATGGCAGGGTCCACGGAGGTGATCCCACACGGCGCGGACTGACTGTTTCTGGCCTCAGGAGCCCCAGAAGCTCCAGGCTTCAGCAAAGACAGGTTGGCTGCCTTTCTAGCCCACCGCTCAGTCACCCAGGGCAGCAGGCTGGGGAGGGGAGCTTTGGGTGCAGCGGAGCAGAGCCTGGCCAAGCAGAGACTCCTGGTTTCTAGGCAGAGACCACTGACGTCAGCAAACCCATCAGAACCCCTCCCCAGGGAACGAGGCAGCTTACGACGTGCCTGCCGGGTTTTACGGGACGCGTGCCACGTGAGGGGAGGCCTTGCTCTTTGGGTGTCCCTGTCCTCTGAGGGCCAGCCAGGACGGCCAGGGCAGGCCCTGCCAGCATTTAACATGGACAGATTCATACGTTTGTAAGCACGATAGAGGATGGAGAGTCACTGAACTTAGGGAGGAACTGCAGATTGACAGAAGTAGCCTGACAGTGAGCACAGGGGACGAGAGGAGCACAGACTGAGTACGCGAGTAGTCAGAAGGGTGCAGGGGCGAAGCACCTGACGGCAGGAGCAGAAGAGAGCAAAGCAGATGGCCGCGGGTTGTGACGTCAGGAGGTGAGGGTGGAGCGACAGAAGGAACAGGAGGAGATTTCTCTGAGCTGGAAGAAGAGTCATCTTTGGAGCTGAAGAACCCCGAATCTTTTGTCGAGAATGCGTTACGTATATGTATTTCTAGTGACGTTTCCACATTGCAAAAGTGAGCAACTTTTATAAGCATCTGAATGGTATAATGAGCTGCCAGTGGAAGAAGGCGATTTGCACGGGCACCGCAGCCTCTTCCTTCTGCGACACTAAGTGCCACACGATGTCCAGAATTCTGAGAAAAAATCCTGAGTTCATGAGGTAAAGAGAGACACAGGCATTAATTGTCGTCAGTGATAGGAAAATAGAGAATTTAAATGTGTTTAAAATGTTCGAGGAGCACTAGAATGTTACAAACGGGTGCCTGGCAGGAAGGCAGACTCATTTACTCACCACAGGACACGTGTGGTGTGCAGGCCACCCGGAGCAGTAGTGACAGGCCCCGCTCCGTCTCGGGCCCGCCCGCGTGTCTGGCATTGCTGCACAGGTGCAGGAGGGCCCGTGCCAGCAGTGGAGGTCTAGTCAGCGAGGAGAATGGGCTCATCACCACGCAGCCTCAGACTCGGCAAGGCAAAACTATGGCACGTAAACAGAAAACACAGGACAGATCCAGGAGGAAAATAACAACATTACAGAGGACCAAAGTGACACAATAAGAGTTTAATAGATGCATGTCAAGCCCCGCATTTTTGAGGCAGAATGTACTTCTTTTAAAGTGCCCAGGGAACATTTACATAAAAACCAACGCAGAATAAGTAGAAGAAAGGACAAAACTCTACTACCTCAAAACTTCAAACCTCTGTCTTAGCTTTTGGGTCAGAGGAGGTCAGGCTAACAGATGACACACTGGAGTCTGATGTGTGGTGAGGTGAGAAAAACCCGTGCCCTGGGTGCTGGTGCCAGGCGGTGGGAAGTGCGAACGAAGGAAGGGGACCTGCAGCTCAGGCCGATGGGGAGAGGGCGGCAGGAGCAGCGGGAAGAGGCGCGGAGGTCACGGGGACAGACCGGGCCCTCCCGCACCTGTGCAGCAATGCCAGACACATGGCCCTTTGAACCCGCAGCATGCAGGTCGCCAGACAGCCATGCACGGGGAGAAGCAAAAGCCCAGAAACCCGTGTCTAGGGATTGGAAGGTAAAATTCTGACTCCAGGTATGTGTGGGCTTTTCCCTATAGCACCAAGTAGTACCGAGACAGCAGCTGGGCGTCCTCCCATTCAGATCATCTCTGACACCATCCACCTGGACGAGGCGTCAGTCCCACAAGGCTGTGCCACACTCCCCGCCACTTGGACGCCAATAGCAAGTCCAGGTGTCACCTGCGTGTGCTTCTGACTGACCAGCTACGGATGGGCGGTTCCAGCAGCCCCCTCCTCGCATGCGGTTTATTTGCTAGAGCAGCTCACAGAACTGAGAAACACACGCAACTCCCCAGGTCATGGGTTTGCCACGCAAGGATGGAAGTCCGGAACAGCCAGGTGGAAGGGACACATGGGGTGGGGGCTTCCAGGCCCCCTCCAGGCACAGCTGCCCTGAGTCTGCAGAGGCCCAGCCCAGAAGCCCTGTGAACCCCGTCCTCTGGGTGTCTGGACGCTGCGTTATGGAGGCACAAGCGATGGAAGCATTGGCCATGGGTCATGGGACTCCCATCTCCGGGTCCTTCCCCTCACCCCCAGATGTCTGGGGTAGGGAAGCAGGACTGGAAGTTCCAACCCTGTGACCATGGTTGGTTCCCCTGGCAACCGGCCCCCGTCCTCAGGGGCTTCCCATAAGTCCCCTGAGGTAACAGCTGTATGCTGTAGGCACCTGGGAAACTCCAAAGGGCTCAGCTCCCCGAGCACCGAGTATGTGGTTCTTACAAATCACAGCGTCCCAAAGATGAAGTGGCCCAGGCACAGCTGGAAAACCTCCGCCCCCAGTTCGTTCTTCCAGCGGCCTGAGGAACCCCAGTCTAGTAAACCACAGCACGACTCGCCATCGTAGGTAGTTTGCGTCCAGGCCACAGGCAGTCACAGGCCTCGGCAAGGACGAGTGCGTTCCTTCAGAAAATCGGGCCTCGCCATCGCCCTCCGGAGGGTCGCTGTCGTCTGCCCAGCCTCCTGTGGTCAGGGAGCCACGCCTTTCTAGTTTCCCTTTGCTGTCTTCTTGGCGTCTCAGAGCCTTCACGGTTTCGAAGTGTGCAGGCCAGCCCCACACTTAGTCTCATGATGGCCTCTGGGTTGCATGTTTGGACCGGGAGCACTGCCTGGCAGCTGTGTCCTCGGCGTCGCCGCAGGGGGCTGCTCCTTGTCAGCTCCTTGGGTCCTCGGGTTCGTGCACTGTCTCTGCTTCCCTGGTGACTGAGTGGCTGGAGGGAACCCTTAGTACTCTGGAAATTTTGCCTTAGGACGTAGGTGTCTGAACTGGTGGCTTCTTCCAGACTTGCTGGTTGGCCCTCTCTGCCCTCAGCCGGGTCCTTATTTACGTTTGACATTTTGGGGCCAGTACGTTGACAGGCCCTATTAACTCAATGTGTTAACCATTGCGGTCACTGGCTGGCGGGCACCCCTTCAGGAGGCTATGGTGTTGCTGTCACTGTCATTCCCCTGCGTCCTTTCCCTGCTTGGCCCGCAGTCAGCTGTCTCCCCACGGCCCGCTCCTGCAGTGGAGAGGGAGGGGCTTGGAGACCGTGTGCTGGGCGCCGGCTGGGCTTGGCCTGAGTGTGTCTGTCCTGGCCGCAGTGCCCAAGGTCACAAGTTTGCTCAAGGGTTACCCCGTGTGTTTAGACAGAAGACATGTCGCCTAAACGTTTGTGATCCCTGTGATCCCTGCTCAGCGAAGATGGCTTCACGGAGAGCCCCGTGAAGCCATCTTTGCTGAGCAGGGATCACAGGAATTTGGGGACCAGTCAGTGCTGCACCTGGCCAGGCCGGTGGCCACGTGTTCTAGGCCTGGTTTCTGAGATGCACAGAAGTGTTCTTCGGCACGTTTTCTGCATCTACTTTACTTCACAATAAAAATTCTCATCTGAGCGCGCACAGAAAATGTTCACTGTTCTCTCTGGGTGCAGGACCCATCTTGTGCTTTCCTCCCCAAGTTTGAATTATATTCTAAGTGCTTGGCTGTTTCATGCTCTTCACAGAACATTTTGGGGCTTGTTTGCTTTGGGTGAATTTCTGTGTACTTCTGTTTCACCCCAAAAAGCCCGTCTCCCCTTTCAGGAAGGTCGTGCAGGAGCAGCCTTCCATGTGCGGGGGCCGCCGCATTTCCTGCAGGTGCCGACCGGCACTGTAATGGCGTCCCTGCTGGAGCCGAGGTCACCCACAGGCCGCCACTGCCGCCATGGAGACCCCTGGTGCTTCTCATCCCCCTGCGCCTGGGGCTCACGGACATCAACGAGGCCTACGTGGGGACGCTGAAGGTGAGTCTGCGCCGAGCCTGCGTGGCTCTCCCTGAGTGGTTGTGGGGGGGGCCAAAGTCCTGCTCTGTGCTAAAGACTTTCCGCTCCCCCAGCCCTCTGACCGCCCCGTGCACCCCCGGCCTCCACCTGGGCATCCTGGCAGCCCTCCCGCTGGCCCCATGCCCCAAGAGCTTGCTCGTCCCCAGCCCTGCTCCCACTGGCCGCCTGCCTCCATTCCTCCCGCCCTGGGAGTGCACAGCTGCCCCGTGTCCACCTGCTCAGGCCCGGCTGCCACGGGGCTCCTGTCCCCTACCCTCCCTGACGAGGCTCCTGGAGGCAACGTCCCCTGCCCTCCCAGTGCTGGGGGTGGGTCCACATCCGCCCTGTGGGCCCAGCTGGCCAGCACGCTGGTCGGCCTGTGCTCAGCGGCCGCCTCGCTCCCCCTCCGCCAGCACTGCTTCATGATGCCGCAGTCCCTGGGCGTGATCGGAGGCAAGCCCAATAGTGCCCACTACTTCATCGGCTACGTCGGTGAGTGCCCGGTCCTCGTGGTGGCACCCCTGGGGCTGGAAGCCAGGAAAGATGGAGCGGTCAGCCAGGCAGGCCTAAGGGGCCGCTGCCTCACCCCCACCTCCCCCACAGCGCAGGACAGGCAGCTTGACCACCTGTCCCACCTGGAAGTCCCTTCCCCCAGCCTGGCTTGTCCAGGCGAGGGGGTTGGGTGGGGCGGGAGGCCCCGTGTCGGCCCCGTGTCGGCCCCGTGTCTGCTGACTCCCTGTCGTGCTCAGGTGAGGAGCTCATCTACCTGGACCCGCACACAACGCAACCGGCGGTGGAGGTGGCCGACCGCCGCTCCATCCCGGATGAGAGCTTCCACTGTCAGCACCCCCCGAGCAGAATGCGCATCGGGGAGCTTGACCCCTCCATTGCCGTGGTGC